TGCAAAATTTAAAGAACAAATCATTCTGGGGAAAACACATGGTATTTAAAAAATTAAACTGAAAAGTATGAATTTACAAAGCATATTGATCTAACAAGTGAAGTCATAAAATGGATTCCAATCAGATGTCCAGGACTTCTCCTTTGAAACAGCTTGGACAAGAACCAAAATCCATGGCCACAACAAAGAACAAAGAAAGAGGTGATAACTAAGATCCTGTAAGCTTTGGTGATCTGAGACAAGTATTCTTTCTCTTTTAAAAACAGAAAAATTATTAAAATCCCAGGAAGGTATGAAAACATATGTTACTATAACGTTAGAAAAGACCAATGTAACTATTACAGTAATTCTCAAAAAGTGAAAAAACAAGTAGAGCAAAAAATGAAAAAAGTTAAACCTACTGGGTTGTTATTTTAGACTAGGTCTAGGTATAGTTATATGTTCTGAAGTAATTGTATTTGTGCATGCTTTCTCTGCTGTTGACAAAGAATAAAGAATCCTTTAAAGTATTAAAGCATCACATATAGTCATTTTTAAAAAGCCAGACACAATTATTAAATGCCCTGCAAGGCTCTGTTAGGTCATTAGTGATCAATACTATTTGAATAATACAGATTCCCTTGGAGCAAGGGGAACAAGCCTGATTCCTAGTGCCATGTGCAATGTGAACCAACAGAGATTTATCCAAAGGCTCACCAAGCAAGGCCTATGTGCCCTTTTGATAATCAAAACTGAACTCCCTAACTATACATAAAGAGAGAGTAAAAGACCTTTCAAATTTATGGATATAATAAATACAAAAAACTAAACAGAGTAATCAGAGGATCTTATCTGGCTGAAAATGACTCAAGGGATCATTCACACAGTGGGCAGCTGGGCCGGGGGAATCTTGGAAAGGGCAAGAAACAAAAAAGGAGAAAACCAACAAGCTTATTTACAGAAATTCACAATGCAATACATTGTAAGTCTAAAGTCTGTTTTCCAGTAAAGAGATTTAGACATTATAGCTAGGCAAGACACAAAGAATCTCTACATAAACAGTACATAAATTTAAATAAAGTGGCTTTGAAATGGTTAATTCCAAAAAAATATAATCAGAAGTTAACAATGCTGTGCCTCTTCATTTCTTACCTTCTCTGGTTTGAGTTCGATGCTGATAAAGCATTTTGTTTGACCCGTTGTACATGTCGTGGCACCTGACACAGACAGGAGTTCATCCATCAGGTTTACCCCATCTTTCTGGAGCACGGTAGCTGTTTCATTAAGTGTGACTCGCCAAAAGACCTTGACATCTTCAAAGGCCCTGTGAGCAAAGAAAACCCATGCAAATGCAGCAGCAGAGGGCATTATCCTGGTGTCTAACAGAGAATGTATTCACTGTGTCTAACTGTACCTGTTCATCCAAAGAACAGCACTTACTTAACCACTGCTAATGCTGAAAATGACCAATTCTCCTCATTATAGATAAGAAAATTAAGGCTTAGGGTTTACACACAACTATTCTTTGATTACACTCTATTCAATCATGAATAAGTATTTATTGAACTACCAAATATCAGGGATGTGAAAAAAATGGTCATTTTCTGCCTACTATGTACCAAAAAATGTGAAAATAAAAATTATAGAGAACTCATGCCTTCAAGTAAATGCTCCTCGGTTGTCTTTTAACAAGAATTTTTCTAAATGAAAAACACTTGGGCTAAAAATGGTTGTTATCATAAAAATAAAGGGAAAAAGGTGACCTACATTTTCACAGAATATTTGGGCCCCAAATGGAAAATGTAATACATATAAATGTACATGTGTGCATACTTGGTACACGTATGTAATGAGTGTTCAAAAGATGGTACTCTAAGTTACAAGCAAAATTTTGGTACTCCAGGTCTCCCTCACAGTAAAATGGTTATGTGTCTACAGTGAGAGATAACGGTAAATGTGATGAAGTGATGACCTACAGGATCTGTCATCTGTATGGTACTTTATGATGCATAAATGTTCAAAGTAGCCCTAAGTTATAATCATAAACCAAGTCTGTTAAATCACAGATTAAGAACTAGAGCATCTGAACAGACATATCGAATTCTGCACTGTCTTCTATCAACATTTCATCCTGCCTCTATCATTGTATGAATTCAAATTAGACGCTGTACAGACACGCAGGATGTTACATCTCCCACATACTGTCATATATACACATGTACCTGTTGGGCTGCCTTGTGACAGCAAGACGCAGTCTTCTCATCTCAGCTCCCTCCCAGAGTTCTAGTCCACTCTGGGACTCCTCACTAAATCCTATGATGCCATTGTGAAGATCGCTCCCTGAAAAGAAAAGTGAAGGGCTATAATATATTTAAGAATTTAAAAGATCTCCAATGCTTCACTATTCTTGCCAGCTCGGATGGTATACAAGTGAGAAATTCACAAGTGAGTGGCGGGGGGAGCTATCATTTTTAAAGATCTTCACTAAAAATAGACTAAAAAATGATAACGTCCAGGTGGCTGACAGTTGGAGAATAGAAGAGCAGAAGAAAAAAAAAACATCAAACTCACTCCCTACTCTGACACACACATACTCATGTCTCTGTGTTAAGATCCTACTTTATATTTGATAGCACTTGATAGTTTATATGTGTTTATCTGTTTAAAGTCTGTATGTCCCCACAGAATGTAAGTTCTACCAGAGCAGCAACTGTTTTATTTACTGGTGTATCCGCAGCACCAAGAACAGTGCTGAGCATATGGTGAGTATTTATTAATAATAAATATTTCCTGAATAAATGAACTCCATTTAACTGATTTACCTCCATATAAGAGGGTCGACCAAAAGACTGTTTATGCTATCTATGCAGTTATTTGCCTGAGATTATAATAGAACTTTTAAGGAACTCCTGAGCATCTCCCAATATCAGAATCTCCTCTGAGCAACACTGGAGATTACAGATACCATTGCGCTAAAAATGTTTGTTTAAACTGGAGCAAACCTAGAGTTCATACTACACTGAAAGAGTCACTTCAAATTCTGGCCAGCACATATGCTAGCTTCTCGGACTAGAAGAATATCAGTGTACACTTCCTATTTTTCTATTTGTTTTCTATCTCTCAAAGACTCAGTTTTGCAAAGTGAACCTAGAAGCAATGACCCTAAAGCAATCAGCCTCAAAAGCTACTTGTACCCATCACCCTGAAATCTAATTCCTATTCCTGACGTTCCAACGAGACAGAACTTCTGAAGTTAGGGACTAGGTTGGGAGAAGGAAACAGAAAACCACTTACCTGTCCTGATGGGGAGCCTTAGTAGCCACTAGCCCTGATCTATTCCCCAGGTCTGAAGGGTAAGTAAATGTGGATCCCATCTACTAGGGACGTGCAAGTGATGGACTACATTTGTCCTGACGTCTCATGTGTATTTTGTCTCAGTCAGACTACCAATCCTCATCCTCGCCAATTAATCACTACAATCGCTTCTTAGCCTGGCTTCAGAACCTGACATTAACTTTTTCTCCTTGGCAGCAATTGTTTTCTTGTCACCCTGGGTGGGGATTTGATCTCTCTAAGTAGTTTATAAGCTTCTCACAAGCAGAATCTTCATTTTCTTTCCCAAGGCAATAGCAACTAGCATGGTTCTAATAAAAATAATATTTCCCTTGCCACATCTACAATAATAAATTTGATATCAAATTTCTAGTAAAACGATTCCAGGCTTCTAATGTGCCAATGATCAAAACCAAAACTACATAAACTATTTCTTCCCTGATTTATTTTGAAAGTTTGTTCTAGAAATGTGAAAAGATCATAAAGATTAAATAGAAGAGGAATCCGCAAAATTAATAATCTTGTTAAAAGAGAAATATTATTAAGAAAAAAAAAGCCAGATGGGGAAAAAAACTAGGGGAACATATGCAGACAGAGTAAAGGAACTTAGGGTATTATGGCCATGCAAACGTGCCTGGTGGTATTGGCAGGTCAATTACATCACATGACATTAAGAGACAGGTATGGTGAGAAGTCTATCGTTTGCTGTGTGTATGATCTGTGTAGCTTATGTAGGGAAGGTAAACACTAGAGAATCTCACAGTGCTCAGTTGAGTTGCTATTTGCCTGGGGAGTTAGGCTCAGAGCTAATGCATGGGTAGACACCGGTATGCCATAATGACTGATAAAATATGGAAGCACTTTCATTCCAGTTGGTACCTAGCTGCTATCCTGAGCTCCCAAAGAGCCCTCTGCCACCTCCCTAACCAGGACCCCAAGATCTCCCCATGATCCAGTAACTAATGGGGTACTGCTTAGAACAGCAATGAGCCTCCAGAAACCATTTTGACGGATTGGGCCTGTGCCAAACTAATTGCTAAACATTTTGACTATCAGCCCTAGTCAAATTCAAATAACTGCAACAAAAAAATCTATGTCGTGGAATGGGGAAGAGGATGCTGACTGCTGAACTAATTTTATTAGAAACATGTAGATGGCATCAAGCCAATGTGAATCAAAATTAGTAAATAACTTTTAGAAGTAGTATTTACAATATTCTTGCCAAACTGTAGAAATAGGAATAAACTGTATTGTTATAATTGGTGTAAATTTGCAGGGCAATATAAATGGGATGATGCTGGGTATGAAAGGAAGTTAAATAATTGCAAAATTATGACTTAATTGTAACTGAATGGCTAAACAAAATGCTAGGAAGTATCAAATCCTAAAAGTAGGTTTTGAGAAATATGGCACAGGCTGGTGAATACAGTTCACAATGCTGTACATTTCCAAATTTCTAAGAGAGTACATTTCAAATGTTCTCAGCACAAAAAATTGTTAAGTATTTGAGGTGATGGAGAGGTTAACCAGTTTGATTTAATTAATCTACATTATATTTATGAATCATAATATCAATATGTACCCTACAAATGTATCTAACTATAAATTGTTGGTTTATAATAAAAAATAAAAATTAAAAAGAAAAGAATCTTGAGATGGCCTGTCATTATTCTAATTAGTGTAAGATATTAACAAATTTATCTATTTTGCTTAAAGAAATATAGTATGATTTCAGAGGCAAGCTGCAAATTATTACCGAAAGGTTCTATAAGATGTATAAAGAACTGTTAAATATTACTGAATTTTTAAGCTATTATAACACATATATGTAATAGTACAATGGATAGATCAACTGCTTTGGGTCAAAAGCAAAACAAAAGGAAATAGTTTTAATCTATTTCACAACAGACACAATATTTCCTGACAATGATAGCTTTGACTTTAGGATAGATTATTGAAGTAGTTGGCAAATTTAGAATGAGGTTTCAAAATAGAATAGGCAATCATGTATTTGGATGATGAAATTAAATATGTTCCCTATATTGTGAAAGCATAGATTTACAGATTGTGTATCTGGCTCTGATCTAAGTGACATTTACAGTCCATAAAATTGAAGCCTGGCACTTCAGAACAACACCATGAGTTCATGTCATGGGGCCATGCTATAGAAACACAATGTTTTAATGAATAACCAGGAGTGGCTTCAATAATTCGCCTTCTTAAGTTAAGTTAAATTGATGTTAATACAAATTCTGTACCACAAAACTACATTTTTGTCTCCAACACTTCAAAGATATACCTGCAATAATGACCGTGGCAAAAGCTGCAAATCCAGTGTCATCCTTTCCCTTCACAACCTGTGCTCCCCCTCGAGGGTCTGTGAGAAACATGTAGAAGAATTCCTGCCCCTCAGGCTCGTCATCATCCAAAATTTGAACCGATACTCTCTGTTCTCTTTCTCCATCTAGAAATGTGAGGATAAGAGTTTGTTCTTCAAAGTCTTCTTCTTCAACTGCCCACGTTAGGTTGGAAATTCCATAGGTATCAGGGAAGAGCGATGCATTTGGTTCCTTCTGAGCACATCTTTCACCAAAAGTTTTAACTGTGACACTGACATTGCCAGTCAACCCGCCAGTTCTTCGGATAAGAACTTCTGCTGTACTGAATGCGCCATTCTTCCTCTCCTCTTCAACATAAACGATAGGTGGCCCGAGACTAAACGTTCCATGAACGGAAACATTGGCAGTTACAGTGGCCACATCAGGCTTTTCAGACGTGGCAGGTGTACCATGAAGGGTGACGAGTTTCTCAGGGACAGCAGATATACCAGCTGCCTCGGCGACAGTGGTAACCATTTCAGTTGGCTGTGGAAAGGCAGTTGTCTTGCTTGTGCCAGGGTGTGCGGTGGAGTCGGTTTCTACAGAAATGAGAGTTGTGTCAACTGCTACGTCCACAGTTGTCGTGGGGTAAGAAACATCCTTTCCTGCCAGGTCATCATTATCCGATATTTTGATCACCGCAACACTGAAATCTAGATTCAGGCGTGGTCTCCAATTAGCATCAAGCTTTTGCAATCCTCTACTTTCTACTGAAGTGAGGTTAATGTAGAAAATTTCTTCTGTCTCAGGAAGGTGATCATTAATAATGATTATTTCGAAATCAACTTCAGCCTGGAATTTCTGAAAATAAAGTTCCCCATTCTGAACAGGCTCAAAGTCTTCCAGGGGCTCAGCGCTGCCTGCAGTTGTCTGATAGGAAACTCTGATAAGATCGCTGTGGAACCCAAACAGTCTTTGCACATGTAATTTGATCATCTGTGTATCCTCTGACACGATGATATTTCTTGAACTAGGGGAAAATTGGAAGACTCCCATTGGTTCAATTTCAGCAACGGTGAAACCCGATCTGGAAAAAAAATATTAAACTATGAGGGAATTGATAAAAAATAGGAATACCACTGTAGAGATTGATCTTTCATGGATTTAAGATGCTGCTCATGGAGGCAGCATCTTAACAATGACCTACTGCTTGATAAGTGAGAGCACAAGAAATGTCAGAACAGGAGCTGCAATAGCAGGGACAAGACCTAACAAGCCCGAGCTAAAGCAAGAGCGGTGGCCTGGGGTAGCATGCTCAGTAAGAACCATGACGGCAGCTCACCTATTTTTAAAGAGAGACGTCTTCTGGGAATCAGCTGAAAATACCTGATTTACCCAAGTGATTAAGAGCAAGAATAAGGCATTACAGTGGGTAATGTTACTTGTTTAAACCAGTGGCTCTTTTGAGTTTAATTTTATTCTATTTTGCTATTTATCTATAACAATTATGTATACGCACCCAGTATATTTGCTGATAAATACGTTCCGGCCAAAAGCGATTTACTTTCTTCACACCTGGGATGGCCTTGACTAGAGCAGCAGAGGGCAGACTTGAGAGCGATACTTAGGGATTTAGTCCTGGCTCTGCCACTTACCTGCTGTGCCACTTTGGGAAAGTTACTAGATATTTTTGTTCTTTAGTTTACTTATTTATAAAATGAGGGAAATGTGTGGGCAACACTAGCGTGTGTTCAGGTATGTTTATGTGTGTGGGATATCTGTTGGCAGAATCAAATATGGCTTTAGATTATACATATGCCACTTGAAAATTGTTTGTCTAGAGAACACATTTCAGAGTTACAAATTCAAACATGACGAACTCCCTTCAAGGCAAGCAGTGGGTGAGGACCCTCCTGAAAGTCAGCCTCCCTGGTGGTATCCTTACATGTAAGCCACGTGTTGCTCTATGCCAACACTGTTTCCGCATCTGCTTCAAGGAGAGCAATTCTTACGCCTTTTCGTGTTTAGACTGATAAATTCCAAATGATCCCTCACAGAACTTCCTGGCTGAGAATCAGGTTGGTCTTACCGAAGTTGAGCTCCACCAGGAGCACTGCTCTGCACTCCTGAAAGGTGAATAACGAAGGCCTCTGGCAGACCAGGGGTGGGAAATGTCCGCAGTAAAACTTCTTTCCTTTGTTCACCATGGAAGAATGAAAGGCTCCCTGAAAGGAAACATGACAGGGAAAGCAGGGTATCATTTCTTAGTTCTTAACTTGGGATTCGACTCTTAAAAATGTAGTAAAGTATTTTCTTTTCCAAAATTCGATTGCAGTCCACAAAAAGTAAAATATTTTAAAAAGGGGGGAGGCGCTGGATGTGGTGGCTTGTGCCTATAATCCTAGCACTTTGGGAGGCTGAGGCAGCAGGATCACTTGAGGCCAGGAGTTCGAGACCAACCTGGGCAACATAGCAAGACCCCATCTCTAAAAATTTTTTTTTTTAAAAATTAGCCATGTGTGGTGGTGTACACTTGTAGACCCAGCTACTAGGGAGGCTCAGGTGGGAGAATTCTTTGTATCCAGGGGTTCCCGGTTACAGTGAACTATGATCGTGCCACTGCATTCCAGCCTGGGCAACATAGTGAGACCCTGTCTCTTAGAAAAAAGGGCTGGGAGAGAGGTAAATAAACTTACAAGAAATCATCTAGATCACACAAACCTTGCTTTCAATCCCTGTCTACTCTTCTCATTTATCTCTTTTTCTTTCCTGGCTCGATTAAAAAATCTAGCAGTGAAAAGAGAATGGTGCTAGGCAGGCTTTGATGTGTATTTGTTGTTAGGCTTTGGTTTGAATTCTGACCCCAGCATATTTTTAGAGATGCATATTGAAGTAGTTTGGAATTAAATAACACAATCTATGTATTTTAAATTGATTCAGAAAAGAAATGTCACAAATATGGTGGAATGTAACAACCACTAAATCCAGTCAGTGAGTTTATGGGTGTTTGTTGTACTTTACTTTTTCATTGTGTTTGAAAATTTATTATAAAAGATCAAAAAGCTAAACGAACGTGTTTGACAATATAGATCTATTGTCCGAGAATTTTTTAGCTTATTCGTGTTATGATAAATTCACAAAAGCTTTTGAAGATTAATTTTATATGTAAGCACAAAGTCATACACACACCCTTAATAAACAATATCTCTACACATAAATCTTTTTGTACCTAGTAAGTAGTTACTCACACAAAAAGCAAAAAGAAACCCACTAAATTATATGGAGCTGTGCATTATCACCCAAAGTGAAAGAAGGGGAGTAAAAGATAAGAGTTTCTGCAGGGAAAAAGGGCTACAAAATAAACAAGAAATATAATTAAATAGCTTTAACTTAGGGGACATGCCAAAAGGAAATGAAGAGGAGCCAGTGTTTGATACGTTAGGTCAGGGGTACCTACTCAGTGGCTAAAGAAACCCCAGTATCCAAGGCATTTCTCGTGCTATGGTATCTCTC